ACGGCAGGGCCGGGAGCAACGGGAGCGGGGGGGTCAGGGATCGGGGTGTCGGGGGCTCGGGGAGCAGAGCCGCCCCGCACTCACCACCTCGAAGCTGGAGCAGCTGCCGCACTCCCGCGCCACCACGAACTCCTCCCGCCTCCAGCACGGCGCTGCGGGGCTCGCTGCGGGCACCGGGCCGCGCTCAGCGGACACCCGCGTACCGCCGGGAGCCCCGGAGGACCCGAACGTCCCCCTCCCCCTCTCCCTCCCCCCCTCCCTCCGGACCCCCGTCCCGCACCCACCCGAGCGCCGCTCCTCGCTCGCCGCCATCGCCGCCACCGCCGTCACGGGCCTGCGGGGAGAGCGCGCGGCCTCGCACCGGGACGGGCCTCACGGCAGGCCCCGGCCCCGGCCCCGGCCCCAGCCCGACCCCCGCCCCGCCGCTCACCGCAGCCCGGCGCCCAGCAGCGCGCATAGCGCCCAGAGCACAGCGTACGGCGCGCAGCAGCGCGGCCCGGCCCCGCACCGGGACCGCATGGCGCCCCGCAGTCACCGCGCGGGGCTCCGAGCGCGGCGCGACGCCGCCATCGCCCTTTGCGCGGGGGCTTCCGGCAGCTGGGGGCGTGGCTTCCGGTACCGGGGGCGGGGCTTCCGGCACAGGGGAGGGTGACTTCCGGCAAGCGCGTGGCTCATAGCAAAGGGGCGTGGCTTAAGGTTCTTTCCCAACATGGCCGCCGCCGCCCTCCTCAAGATGGCGCCGCGCCCACTTCCGCCCGTGCGGGGAACCCCGCAGCGGATATAGCGCCGCCCGCTTCCGGTCCCGCCCCTTTTCGGTCGCTGCCGCCGCACGCCGCCGCCATGCCTGTGAGTGCGCCGCGCCACCGCCGCCGCCCCGCGGTCCTCCCGCACCGAGCGGCCGCGGGCCGGGCCGGGCAGCGCGGGACGGGAGGAGCGGGGCGGGGGCGGGAAAAGCGCGGCGGGGGGGCCGGGCGGGGCAGGGCAGGGCCGGCCGCCATCTCCTCGGGCGCGGGGGCGCAAGATGGCGGCGGGCGCTGAGCGCTGTCCCTCAGCTGGCCAAGGACCTCCTGCACCCCTCCCCGGAGGAGGAGAAGCGCAAGCACAAGAAGAAGCGCCTGGTGCAGAGCCCCAACTCCTACTTCATGGACGTCAAGTGCCCAGGTGAGGGAAGGGCGCCCGGCGCTCCCCGCCCGCCCCGCCGCCCCGCCGCCCGACTGAGCGCTTCTCTCCCGCAGGCTGCTATAAAATCACCACCGTCTTCAGCCACGCTCAGACCGTCGTGCTCTGCGTCGGCTGCTCCACCGTGCTGTGCCAGCCCACGGGCGGCAAGGCGCGGCTCACAGAAGGTGGGTGAGCGCGGGTTTCCCCGCGGAGCGGCGGGGCTCCGCCGTCCCGAGCGCGAGGTCCGGGATTGCGGCAGCCGCGCTGCTCACCGCTGCGTCCCCCCCTTCCCCCCCCAGGATGCTCGTTCCGAAGAAAGCAGCATTAAAGCCGCGGCGCCGGGATGGCCGGGGCTGCACACGGCGGCCGCACGGCACGGAGCCCCGGGAGGCACCCGGCAGTGCGAGCCGTGCTGTCCCTGCAGCCCCCCCCATCTTGCTGTCAATAAATTTTGGATAAAAGAGTCGAATTGTTTTTATTCCTCGTTCGGGAAAGGGGGGTGGGGCTGTTGGGTTCTGCTGAACCGCCGAACCGCCTCCACCTTCCCTTCAACTGCCAACAAATAACGGGTATTTAAGCTGGGTGCCCCCCAGCAGGTAAGGGGGGAGCTGGGTGCTGCCCTCCACCCCGCTCAGAACACTCAGGCGCTCCCAGGTTCAGTTCTGCACGCTCCACAGCCCCAGCTGCGTCCTCCTGCCTCCCTGCGTGGGGCCGGGGGGGTGGAAGTGTCCTGCGTGGGAAAGAAAGGGCAGCACCCCACGTTCCCCAGAACCACACAGAAATCACAGAAATCTGGGCTCCATCAGAAGGGGGGTGGGCAGCAGGGACAGGGAGGTGATTGTCCCCCTCTGCTCTGCTCTCGTGAGGCCCCGTTTGTTGTACTGCCTCCAAGTGTGGAGCCCCCAGTGCAAAAAAGACAGGGAGCTGCTGGAGAGGGTCCAGAGGAGCCACAGAGATGAGCAGGGCTGCAGCACCTCCCTGCAAAGACAGGCTGAGGGAGCTGGGCTTGTTCAGCATGGAGAAGAGAAGCTGCGGGGTGAATCATTGCAGCCTGCAGTACTAAAGGGAGCCCAAAAACAGGAGGGGAGTCAGCTCTTGGGAAGGGGAGATGAGAGCAGGACGAGGGAAATGGCTGGAATTGAGGGAGGGCAGATTTCAGCTGGGTGTCAGGGGGAAGTTGTTTGCTGTGAGAGCGGTGAGGTGCTGGAACAGCTGCCCAGAGAGGCTGTGGATGGGCATCCATCCCTGGAGGTGTTGGAGGCCAGGTTGGATGGGGCCCTGGGCAGCCTGGTCTAGCATTAAATGAGAAAGTTGGTGGCCCTGCATGTGTCAGGGGGGCTGGAGCTTCATGATCCTTGAAGTCCCTTCCAACCCTGGCCATTCTGTGCTTCTGTGAAACACCAAGGTTGGAAAAGAGCTCCAAGATCATCCAGTCCAACCGCGTGCTCTGACTGCACTGGGGGACTTCTCTGAACCCCCCTCAAAAGTCCGCACAGCTTTGGAGCTTTTCCTCTGTGGGTGGTGATGAACTCCCCGTGCTGCACAGCTCTGAACCCGTGGATCAGAATGGACTGCAATGGACTCACCTGCCTGAGGCACAGCCGTGTTGGACACATAAATGAGGGGCAAGGTCTGCAGCCTGGCCAGGAAGGCGTTGTATGCTGCCAAAACAGAACCTGGTCAGCAGCACCAGCGATTCTGGCCTTAAGAAGTGCCAAGAGGTGGGGGGGAAACAGGGATGGGAGGGAAACAGAGGGATGGGGGGGAAACAAAGGGAGGAGGAGGGGCCGATGGGCCAAAGGATGCGTTTCTGCAGGTGTTGATTAGTGGGTTACAGAGCTCGTGCACTTACCGAGGTAAGTAACAGCTGTCGATCCCAAAACAGCAAAGAGAGTGAAGAGGAGGATCTGGTAAGAGCTCACAAGCTGCCGGTGAATTCCCACTGCGCCGCGCTGCCCTGAGGTGCAAAGTAGAGGAGGGGGTGAGCCGTGCACAGACTGCAGCTCCAAGAGCTTCCCCCAGCGGCCTGCGAGGGGCAGCACCTGCAGATCAGCGTTGCACCGGCACGGCACCGGGCTGCATCGGGGCACTGCAAGCGGGCACGGGGCTCTGGTAGGTCCAGAAGAGGGCACTCACCCGCGGGCTGCTCCCCCGCGACAGCTCTGGCTGTGACCGCGTCCCTTTGGCCGGTGAGAGGACAAGAGACGGTGATGGACACTGCTGGCCTCTGCTGGAGGGAGCCGAGGTCGAGCACACGCACTGTGTAATGCACGAGCCCGGGCTTGTTGGGAAAGAACTCGGGAGGCGTCACTGCTACGGCTGGAGAGCCGGACTGAACCTCGGGACAGAGAAACGCAGCGTCAGCCACCGCAGCTGCTTCCAAGTGCAGGAAATGGTGACTGCTCTCAGAGACCCACGGGAGAAATGGCTGAGAGGGACTCGCTGCGACCACCAGGACGTGGTGAGCACGTCCCCCTGGTGGCTGCGTGTTTCTGCCCTCCCCGGAAAGGAGCCAAAAGAACAGAGCTTTTCTACATACCTCCAGTTTTTCCAAGACTTTTTCAGCTCCCAGCACGCTCAGCACGCCGCTCAGCTGCGTGGTGCTGAACACTAATTCCGACTGACCGAGGTAAAAGGCAGGGAGGAAAGGAATGGTGATGCTTTGTGTGTCACTGCTGAGAGAAACCAGCACGTGGACGGCAGTGTTGGTTGTGCTGAGCGCCAGGAGGGCTTCTCTGGGCTGCGGCTTAGCAGTGATTACACAGACATAGAGACCTGCATTTGAGACAGGATTCACAACAGGACAAAAACAGGGCAGCGGAATGAAGGCCAAAGTGCTGTGAGGTGGATCTGAAGTCAGCCTCACCTTCCTGGGTGCTGAACTCTGGGCTCACATGGAAGACATCCCCAGCTGGAACGCCCGCCACGGCGCTGCTGAACTTCAGCTGGCACTGCAGGTGGGACTGCGGGACCAGGCGCTGCGCGATGGCACCGACCTGAGCAGAGCTGCAGGAGCCTGCGGGAGGAAAACAGGGATGAATCCATCAGCCTCTCACCCTCAGCAAAACAAGGTGAAGTTTGCCCCAAGACACAAAGCAGTGCCGTTCAGGTTTCCCTATCAGAACCCCAGCTCTGGTACTCACAGAGGCAGCTCCTACCTTGGAGGGTTTCTCTCCCACTGCTCGTGGCAATGAGAAGGTGGAACGCAGAGGAATTGGGAGCGTTGGTTAAGTAGCTTTTCTGACCAGTCTGGAGATGTAAGTGTGATGAGCCATTGACTGCGACCTGAAAGATCCAAAACAGACACTGACTCACGCAGCAGGGAAATCGACCGCTTCTCTTCTTTCTGTTATTCTACACAACTTGCCTAACTGGGTAATTAAAGATCAGTCTGAAGTACACTAACGAGCACAGTAAAACACCTTTAATGTAAACGAGAAACGGGCCCTCCTTGTTCCATTTCTGCAGTTTTGCTGCCAGGAGTTTCAGAGCAACTCCGAGTCCAGGCCCTGCTCTAACAGTGCCTACCTACACAGGTGCTCTTATCAACACAGCCTTAGAGATAACAGCTGAACTACTGCTCTTCTTCTTGATGTACAACAGCATCAACACGCATCCAGTCCTGGTATGCAGAAGCAGGCTGCCCCTCTCATAGAATGGCCTGGGTTGCAAAGGCCCCCAGTGCCCATCAGTTCCAACCCCCTGCTGTGTGCAGGGTCACCAACCAGCAGCCCAGGCTGCCCAGAGAACCCATGGGGTGCCATTAGGATCCATGGGGTGCCATTAGGATCCATAGAATCATAGAATCCTAGAATGGCCTGGGTTGAAAAGGCCCCCAATGCCCATCAGTTCCAACCCCTGCTGTGTGCAGGTCACCAACCAGCAGCCCAGGCTGCCCAGAGCCACATCCAGCCTGGCCTTGAATGCCTGCAGGGATGGGGCATCCACAGCTCCTTGGGCAACCTGTTCCAGTCTTTACCACCCTCTGCGTAGAGTGGTCTCTCCCCTGTGGAATGGTGCTAAATACCTCTCTGTGTGTCTTCACTGTCCCTGGGATATCAAGGAAGACCACAGCAGTTCCAGAGCTCCTCGCTAACGCTGCTCCACTCACGCTGTCTATGATGAGCACAGAGGGGGGGGAAACGTGCCACGTCCCTGGGTCACCTGCAAACATTGGGCTGCAGGTTGGCTGCACTGCGTGGCAGCCTCCAGTCAGAGCCTGCTGCAGGGCTGAGGAGCTGCATTCACCCAGCAGTGAGCACCACAAATCTCTTCCCATGCATCTTTAGAGTTCCTGCAGAGGTCTCCTCCTTGTAGGCCTCCTCAGGGAACTCCTTCCCCACGTTTCTCTGCTAAATACACCCGAATAGTGCCTGCTAATTCGCAGGGCCAGAGAGCTTAGAAATCATATTCACCTCAAT